ATACCTATAAACAAGCTTACCTTTACAAAATGTTTACAAGGTGGACTTAAAGCAATTTATTCAGTCAAGACATATCATTTTGTATTTACCAAGAATTGTTACTGGACATTTAGGATGTTGTTTTCAAATTTTGCTCTAATGAGCTAAGAGATAATTATTTTTAAAAATCTATTATTATTTCCTTAGGATAAAATCTTTGAAGTAGAATGCACAGATATGAACTTTTTGAGGCTTTTAATACAAACTTCCTTCCAGAGAGCATAAAAAAAGTTACACCCTCTCATTCTGCACCCTAACAGCACTGAGTTCATTCTGTCCCTGTAATTTTGTACATTTATTATTTATTTTGCATTTTAAGAGTGGTACTCCCTTGTCTATCATATGTGATACAATTCCTTACTCATTTTTTATTGTCTTCTAACTTGGTTAGTTGCTTTTTAACTTGATTAGTTGTTTTGGACACAAAAAAGTTTTAAATTTTTAGGTTAAAAATGTATGTATCTTTATTTTTCTGTATTCTATTATTTAAGACATGCTTACGTTTATCCTTCCCAAGCTTACATTTTCTTCTATTAATGCATTTAAAAATTTTAATCCTCCTGAAATAAATTTTGGGAAATTGTGAGGTACAGACATAACATTTTTTCTCTCAAGTGAGATTCAGTGGCCCTAGCTGTTTTAATGTAAGCACTCTTTTCCATACTGATTTTGCATGCCACCCTTAGCTAAATGGGCCAAATACTTATATTTTCTTTGGTCTATTGTTGGACTTTTATCCTATTTCAGTGATCTTACTATCTACTCTTGGGCAAGTACCACCAAGTTATTTTAGCTGTTGGAGCTTTAGAGCACAATTTAACACCTTAGCAGAGAGACCTACCTTATTCTGTTTTATTTTTGAACTTTTCTTGGCTATTCTTGTTCATTTATTATTCCTGAAAAATTTTGGAATCATTTTATTAGGTACTGTGACTGGGATTATGTTATAGCCATAGATTAAATTAGAGAGAATTAACATCATTACATATCTCTCCTAATATCTTTCATTTTCTTCTTCTTCTTCTTCTTCTTCTTCTTTTATGTTCCTGTGGTAGAGTAGTACTTGTATATTTCACTGCTCACCTACAGTTCAGAGATGCCCTTACATTGCAGTTATATCGGTGCCATTTGATTGGTTCTGACTGATGGGCTGGAAATATAACAGACATTTGCCATTTGTGATCAGGGAATTAAGAGTAAGGTGAGTCCTTCACACTCCCTCTCCCTCTCCCTCTAAGGTAGTGACGGCAGAGGCCACCTATTGGAACGCAGAGTCACAGGAGGGAAGCTACCTGGATCTGCCAGCTGTTGCTGGGAGGATGGCCGTGTTGAGCATCACACAGCCCTCATCAAGCTTTAAGTGAACAAGAGGTAAAGCTTGTGTGTGTCGTGTCATGTAGATTTGAGGATTTATTTGTCACCATGGTAGATTCTTTCAGTAAACGTTGCAAATTTCTTATTCAGTTCATGTCTAAATGTTGATATCTTTGATGTTCCTATGACAGGGGACATCACAGTTTGACTTACCATATTATTACTTTCTAGCGATAGGCGAGGAAGGGAATAGATAGGAGCTAGGAACTTCACGGCTGTGCCTCGCAGCTTCTATTTCTGGCTGTAGTTCCAGCTCACGCTCAGCCAGGGCTCGGGGCACTGCTCCAAGGGAGTGCTTCCCCACTGGAACCCACTTCCTCAGTTGGGAGCCAGCTTCGCAGCTGCCCTGCGTTACTGAGCCTGGGAACTCCTTCCAAGTCTGAATGATTGAACACTTCAAGCAGCCGCTGTGTCTGTACCTGAGACACTCACTCCCAGGTTCTGTTTGTCCTGGCGCCCAGCCCCTCTCGCTTGAAGTTCGAGGAGGGAAGTATTGATTGAATTTTGCTGACTTACGGGCCCCTCTCTTTATCCATACAAGAGTCTCATCCTTTATATGCCATGAATCATGGATGGATGGGTTTTTTCTCAATCTGGCCTCACCTAAACTCTAATTTGCAGAAATTTTTAGAAATTACAGCCAAATGGGTGCTACCCATGGTTTCAAATGCAGGCGTTCTTCTCAGAGAGATTTTGAGAGGGGGAATTAATGACATGTGCAAACATCCTTTTAAACGAGTGGTCCTTTCACGGATATTTTCAGGAGAACTTGGAAAAGACTAAATGGAAACCCAGATGTCGGTTGAGGGAACAAGTTATCTTCTCTCTCCCCTCCTCCAACCTCCGCATGTGGCAGGGAGTAGCACTGCAGAGATTTATTTTCCCACTGAAACTTTCCCCAGAAAATGGAAATGATTACAGTCAGTTTCAAATAATATTTTTCCCTCGGTTGCATAAATCACGAATGCTAGCCAGTCACTTTCAGTGGATGTCGTCCTTGTGTCTCTGTCGGTTCTTGGTTTCCAAACACCCGTTCACGGATGAGATCTTATCTATGGAAAAAGTTTTTCACTCTTCTGGGGTGAAATATATTAAACACGAATATTTTTTTTTTGAAAACTAAACTATTCAATTTAAACAGCTATCAGATTATGTCCTTTTAATATTTTTGGCATTAACATTATCTTTTCTGAAGTGATTATATGTACACTACACATGGTAGTGTGATTTGTTTAAACCCCTTTATAAAGTTAAAAGTTGGCACTCCTATGTTGGTTTCTAAATTATTCTTGAATTTTTTTCTGGTCTATATAATCCCAAACCCTGTGAACCACTGGAATGTATCTTCAAATAGATTTTCAACAAGTGGAATATTTTCTGAGCCCTTGCATTTCTGAGGATGCCTGCCTGGCCCACTGGAAGACAAATTGCTGGGTATAAAGTTCTTAGCTCATAACTTTCCCCTCAAAACCCTGTGGAGTCATTTGGCATCGAACTGTTGCAGAGGAAACATCTGAGACCAACCCAAGGCTTTGTGCTCTTGTAAATAATTTTCTAATGGATTGTTTCAAGATTATTTTTTATGTATTATACCTTCCCCTTTCTCAAGGCATTGCGATACAATTTCCCCAAGTGCAGTCCACTGAGACGGGATGTGTGGTGTCTGGTGACCAAGGGGCCAGATTCTAGCATCGCCTAAGTTCAAATCTAATTCCACACTTTACTAGCCATTGTATCCTTGGATAGTGTTATGGGATGAATTTCGCCCCCTCCACCACAAAGGAAAAAAAAAAAAAGATATGTTGACATCTTTACCCCAGTACACAGTACACATGAATGTGACCTTAGTTAGAAACAGGATCTTTGCAGATGTAATAAAATTAAGATGAGGTCCTTAGGGTGAGCCCTAACCCAATAGAACTCAAGTCCTTATGACAGGGAAATGTGGACAGACACACACACACAATGCCTTGTGAAGACAGAGACCAGAAGAAAGCCATGTGAAGACAGAGACAGAGGTTCGAGTTTGCTGCCACAAGCCCAGGAGGCTACGGGAAGCGGGAAGAAGCAAGGAAGACCTCCCCCCTGCCCCCCCAGGGGCTTCTGAGGGAGCATGGCGCCGCCCATTCCTTAATGGGAGGCAAGACACATCTGCTGTTTTAAGCCACCTGGTTTCTGGTATTTTGTTATGGTGGCCCTAGGAAACTAATACAGTTTTCTCAAAGACCTTGAGCTTCAATTAGTTGACCTAAAAATGTGAAGAATGTGTTAGTTATAAGGCTGAAAGGTTAAATGTGATTAAATGAGATGAGATCTGTAAATTCTGGCAGGTAGGGAACATTTAATAAAGAGAATGGTTGTTATTAATATTGTCTCCACCACCATCACCTTCCTTGAGTAGCCTTCTCTCCTGGAAATGCTTGCTTTCTTTTTCTGTACTCTTGACATTTTTATGCAAAGCTTATGTGATTTTTATAAAATAATATTGTTTCTTAACTACATTCCAAGCCCACCCCCAAAGACTTTGATTCAGAAGGCTTGGGTAGGTCTCTGGAATGAGTATTATGTGAAGGTGTCCAGGAATGAACTCTCATTAAGTATTGAAAGTACAACATAATTTAAGTCATAGACCTGTTCTATTACATTGATATTGGTACTCCTGTTCTACAAATACGGAAACTGAGGTCAAAGGAAATTGAACCCAAGTCAGAAAAGGTAAAATCAAGTAATTTTTTTGAGGCTGAACTTCAATAACTTTACTAGTTTGATGAAATGTGAAACTCTAGACTCGTATAAAAAAATGCCAGATAATGAGGACTCTATAATACATAAAATATGGGAGACCGTCCAGTGTTAGGATTGAGAACACATGCTCTGGAATCAGACAGGATTCCATTCTAGCTGCAGCACTCACTTTCTACCGATGCAAACATTATTTAACCTTTTAAGGCCTCGAGTTCTTCATCTGAAAATGGGAATAGCTTGCCTCAGGGTTGTTGTGAGAAGTGAATGAGATATCATGATAAAGCATTTCCTACACTGTAGGTGCTAAACAAATGGTCTATTTGCAAATATGCATTGGCATTTATAAGAAAGAAATCAACATCTTCACGTTCTGCTCATCTTAAATATACAAATGCGGAGAGAAAGAGCAGTCATAGATGAGAGCTAGTCCCGAACGTTAAAAAAAGATGTGCTGCCCATGCTTTCCCAGGAGCTTATGGTTTGGACAGTCACTTTCCTGGAATTCTCTTATTAATTTGCCTTTAGTAAGTCTTCTTGTATTTTGGAATTCTCTATTTTGGTAATATTGATGGGTCATTTACCAGAATATGTAAGACCCATTTTTAAGAGTTCCTGGTAGCTAAATATAAACTGTGTATTTAAGGATATTTATGGGTTATGATTTCCTCCACCTAGTGCCCAGTAGGACCTGTTACCTGCTCCCCTTGGAACATTTCACCATATTCTTCACGGGGCTCTAAGATGCTGAGGAGGGAACCAGGAAAGGGATGTGGGAAAGCAGGACATTTTGACATCATCAAGGGAGTTGAGCACAGCAAAAATCAAAGGAACAAGACAGGCAATGGATCTTCACAAAATTGCTTCTTTTATTTTTGTGTAAAATTGCTTCTTTTATTTAAATCACTGTGTATCCTATCATATTGGAAACAGGCACCATATTCAGATTTCCTTTACTTTTGTGAGACAGGACATGCTTCCTAGCTATCTAACATGTCTGCAGTTGTGTCTTCATGTCCTCTGCCTCAGCGAGCTTGAGGCCAGGCTCTCAGCAATCCTGTCCTGGAGGGATGGATGGCCAGGAAGCAGTGAACAGGAAACCAAATGGTAGCCTGAGCATAACTATATGCTGGTAGCAGTAAGCCTGCAGGTGGATGTCCCAGACCTGGGCAGTGGCCCAGACATTTCATCAGGACCGGCTCTGTTTTCCACGGTGCCATCTCAGCGTGCTTGCTGTCCTCATGCTTGTCACTTCAGACTTCAAGGTGGCTGCCTCAGTGTCTGAGATTATACTCTCAGCTCTGCTTCCTGAGAATAAAGGGGGAAAGCATGCCTGCTGTTTACACAGTAAACAAATTACCCCCAGAAGCCTTGCCAGCAGGTTTCTCCTCCTAGCTCTCTAGGCAAAATTGAATAATGTGGCCACCCCAAGCTGTAAAAGAACTCGGGGAGAGAATGAGGCACATGTGAACCAGATTACTCTGACGTAGAGCAATGATTCAGCTCCTGGGATTGGATGACTTCAGCATCTCTGGACGGCACTTCTCCCTTTTGGTACCCTAAGTCAAGAAGTGAGCCCTGGGATGGAGACCTAGCAGCAGGTTACACTGATGTGCAATGTCTCACTCGAGTGATCATGGACGAGGATCCTATCCTGTCGTTATCGGTCACCTTAGAATTGTTATGAGATCCCAGGCACCGATTTAAGCTATTCAAGCTCAGAGGAGGCTGATTTTAAGCTTTAATCTGTACACTTAGAGTGAAACATCGATTCAAATAAGAACTCAACGGGGTTACCTGCTCTGGCTCTGAAGCCACCCTTCTACTGCATCTAGGGGTGCTGAAGCTTCCGGTCTGCACATCACACTCCTGAAAGCTCACTGTTCGGCTCTGCAGATAAGGGCAGCAATGGTGCAAGGCTGGGCCATGGAGTAGGAGCTTCCTCCTCCTGCCTGCTTCCTGTCTGCTTGCAGTTCCTATGCAGCTCAGCCCAATGCTTCTTCACTCCAGTAGCCATAGCTGAGCCCAGGGGACAGTTTTTCTAAAATAGAGAGAACCAGCTTGGCCAGGTCTCCCCCAAAGACCCCAGCACCAGCAGCACCTGCCCTGCTCCTAACTTCGTTTTCGTTCCCCCGGCTGCAGAAGTGGTGGCTGCTTCCTGTAGTTGTACATCTGTGACACCACAGTTTTCTTTTTACCCTTCCAGTTATTTAGGCATCAACTTCTTATGTGCTAATCTTTATGTTAAAGTCTCTGTTCAGGTAATTGGTGTGATTTCTGTCTTCTGATTGGACTTGACTCAGTAGCGTTGTCATGAAGACAGCCAGCCAAAGGCAGTCCTTATGCAATAAACTCTGTGCTTCCCTACCCCTAACCTGCCTAGTGTAGCAGAAGACACCTTGCCACGCCTCTAAAGGACCAGAAGGGCAGATCCCGTCTGACTAGAAGGAGCCTGAGCATCACGTTTTTCCAGGGCCCCCTTTCAAAGCAGGGGACCTCTCTCAAGCAAGAAGCATACCCAGGCCTACCTATCACCACCCACTCCCAAAAGCATGGCACCAGGGGAAGAACCTTTAAAAGTCACGGGTGGGGCCCTGGCTGGGTGGCTAAGTTGGTTGGAGCATCGTCCTGTACACTGAAAGGTTGCGGGTTTGATCCTTAGTCCAGGCCCATACAGGAGGAAACAGATCAATGTTTCTCTCTCTCTCAAATCAATAAAAACATATCCTCGGGTGAGGATTAAAAAAAAAAAAAAAGTGGTGGGTAGGGGTGAGGAATATATTTCAAGGGAGGAAAATCTAAAGGCCAGGAATCCCAAGAGACTAAATCTAGATGTGAAATCAAAACCTAATATATTAATCCCTTTGACCTCTCTCCAAAAGCTTCACTCTTCGTAACATGCCCATAATGCCCTCATACTTCATCGAAGTTAGCTCTGTTTTTTAAGGATGGGGTACCCTCATCCTGAAGAATGTCTACTCTGCAGCAAAAGCTACTGGTGAGAAACGAGTGTGGTGAGCACCAGAGTGAGGGAAGCCGGATGATCTTGAGCAGCAATCTCCACATCACAATTCTTGTGTCTAACAAATTGGGGCCTGTGGTGTAAACTCATGTGCCCTCATTCCTAAATAGCATAGAAAGAACATACAAATCCTTACTTTTTTAAAAGAAAAGCTTTTCTTTTTCTAGATTCTGAGTTCCATAAGCTTCATCAAGCTGTTTTATTACAACACATTTTTAAATAGCACAATCCCAAATTTCCCTCTCAAAGTATTTCTTAGAAAATACTAACATTTTATTTTTGCTTTTTGAAGCATATAGGGAATCATTTAATGGTGAGAGCTATCATTTTTTGGGCTGACCATGAGTCAGGCATATTAGTTCAAAAAACCTAAAGAAACAGTGTGTTAACAAGTGAGAGTTTTATTTTTCCTCATGTAATCAGCCCAGGGCTAGTAAGGCAGCTCCATATCAAACAAGGAGAGACTTGCTCTCTACTGTTAAGGAAACTTAGAAGTTAAACACATCACGTCTGCTTATATCCCATTGATCAGAATTAGTCACAAAGTCACACCAAGCTGCAAGGTAGGCTGGGAATGTAGTTTTTGGTCTGGACTTTGAAAGGGTTAGCATCTATCTACTCAGAAGTCCTGTCATATGGTATAAAATTCAGTACATGTAGAAAGACTCTCAAAAAGAAATTTTATTTCAAATTTTGCAACAAATCCACTACAGAACAAAGTTGGATTCAAGAACAGCTTGGTTTTTAAATAAGTGCTGAAACATTAAAGGAAAATAAGAGGAGCCATTATCTAGGTAAAGTTTGATAACATCAATTTTTAAAAGATAAGATACAAAGCTTTATAATGATTATTTAGAATCATGTTTAAACATACATAGGCAGACCTAGCTGGTTTGGCTCAGTGGATAGAGTGTCGGCCCACGGACAGAAGGGTCCTGGGTTCCATTCTGGTCAAGGGCACAGACTTGGCTTGTAGGCTCCATCCCAGGCCCCGGTCAGGGTGTGTGCGGGAGGCAACCAATCAATGTGTCTCTCTCACATTAATGTTTCTCTCTCTCTCCCCCTCCCTTCCACTCTCTCTAAAAAAAAGTAAATGAAAAAAATTATCTGGGGTGGGGAGAGGCGGGATTAATCAAAAAATAAAATAAAATACATAAGCAAGTGATCATTGTAGTGAATGACCACATTAACATAAAATTGAATGCTACAACTCAACTTTCAATAATTATGAGATAATTAAAATTATGCTGTCAGCTAAAAATGTTTTTAATTCTTTATAATGTATCTCTTTTCATAGCAATATTAACAAAGTATTTTTAACAGATAGTTAAAAACATAATCTACACAATATATTTTACTTGAAATGTACATATCCAAAAATCCAAGTTAAATAAAGATGTGTAATTGTGAGACTGTACATCATTTCATTAGTGAAAACGTTACAGGTAGAATGAGGAACAATAAAGACAATGAGATGGAAAAATGCTGGTATGGGTGTCAGTTTTATCACTTAGAGGAAATTACCTACCTGTCTGGGCCTCACTTTCTAAATCTTTATGAACGGAGAAGTTTGAGCTTATAGATATCAAGCCCTATTACGAGGCAGAGCTAATTTAAGGAATTTTCTAAGGGAACTTGTCCAGGAAAAGTTAGTCTAATGAAGCAAGATCGTTTGAAACCAGGAAATCTGATTCACCTCAGAATAAAAACTGTCCTTACGAATATAGTCCAATCTCCAAAATTGTTAGTTCATGTGTGTTTGTGTGTGTGCACATTAGACTAGTATTTCCCAAGTTTTCACGGTCCTCAGAACAGCAACATGTCTAGGCCCCCAGTGATGGCCGGTGACTGGCCCAGGGAATCACTGCACTCCTTGTTTCCGCAGTCTCCCTGAAGATATGTGCAGTCATAGCAATGCACGTGACCATGAACCCTCTCCTTTCCAGAAGTATCTTCAGGGATTACTTTTCAGGAGAGTCTGCTTTGGTACTATTGACTCACGCTAACTACAAATATTACACAGATGAATGCATTTTCTGACCAATCAAGCCAGAATGCACTCGTCTTTTAGGCATTTCTCCCATAAAACATTTACGCTGGTTCCTCTCAATAAATAATAACCCATGCATTCATTTGTGTATTTAATCAGACCGTGGCCCCGTGTTTAGAAAGGATTTTAAATGAAGGAAAAATATGTTGGCCAAGGAGGAACAATGTCTATTAAACCCCTTGTCTATCTTAAGACTAGAGAATTTGGGAATTCATGATTTCTGAGTACATGCAATAAAATATTCATGTTAATCAACATTTTAGACATAACTGTGTTGTCAAGTTAATTAAAAAAAAAAATCTGAACTCCAGTAATTCTCAGTTATGTGCCCAAATACTTGTGGTACTTTAAAAAGAAAAGTGCAAGTCCCTCCCATCCATTCCACACCCCTTCTGATTTAATAGGTCCGGGGGTGGCTCAGACATCTGTAATTTTTAAAGCCCTGTATGTGATTGTGACAGGCAGCCACGACTGAAATCCTGTGCTTTATAAATCACAGAAGCTGTGACCCTTCAGCATGCTTGGGTGCATAGGGCTGCATGGCGTGGTGGAAGTAACGCTGTCACAGGCATGGGACTCGGCAGCTGGGTAATTCTGGACGGATCAATTAAGCCTCTTTGAGCCTTAACGTGCTGTTCACAAAGAGGATAATGTCTGCGGCAGATATAAACATCACGTGTTCATAAAAACACACGGAAAATTAGGAGTTTCAAAACTTTTAACATAGTATCTAATGCTTTCTTTCTCCCCGTGGAGTGCCTTCTCCCTTCCTTGAATGTAAGAAAAAATCTCCTGTTCCTCCAACTGAGTACCAAGTTTGAATCTCTGAGGCCTTGCCTACCCCAGCTCCCCGGGACTGCGGTCTCGGTCCCACCACACTCCCCACCTGACAGGCCCCTCCACCTGCTGGTCCTCTGCGAGCTCCTGCAGAATCAGGGCAACCTTGCGTTTTGTTGGCCACCCTGAGCCAAAGTACCATCACTTCAGCCTTGAAGACAGACAGAAGTTGCCCTTACAAATCCCAGTTACCTGTTTCTTCTTTTTCAAAGGCTGCATCTTTTTTTCTTCCGTGTACTTTAGCTGTGGAACTCACACAGGAGAACAGAGGGGGGAGGGCTGCTGAGATCTGCCCCGTAATCACTACACAAGTGCCCATTTATTAGGTCTTATATGTGCAGGCCCCTGGGAGCCCCTGGAGGGACACGATTTCATTCTCTCAACCATCCACAACACACAGAGTACCATTATTCCCGTGGGACAGCTATTAGGTCCAGAGGACAGGAGCAATTAGCCCGGGCAGGTCAAGGTCAGGGGGTGGAGCCAGGACTCCAGTGCAGATCTCACTCCAGGGCCCCAAATCTGCAGGACGTCGGTCCTCCCACCTGACGGCGAACACAGTACAGCGGGAACTGCGATCAGACTGGAGGGCGGACGCTTTGTCCGAGAACCACTTCCTCTTGGCGATTCGGGCACCAACAGGAATCCCAAAGTACCTCTGAACCGCTCGCGGCCCGGCCCGGCCGAGCTCTCCCGCCACGACCCTACGACACCTGCCAGCCTCGGGGCGGAGGCGCGGGCCCGCCGTCCGCTACGGTCCCTTCCGGGGGCCGCAGCCGCCCGAGCGCCTCGCGTTTCCCGAAAGTCCCTCTGGCCTCCGACCTTCCGTCCTGCGGTCTCGCGCGGGCCCCAGTCCCCGCGACTCCTCGCGCAGCCCTAGACTTCCGCGTCCCACTCCGGAAGTGACGCACCGGAAGCCCTTTTCGCGTACGGGGCGGGGAAGGAAGATGGCGGCGCCCAGCAGCCGGTGAGGAGAGAGGACACGGGGTCCCCGGAGAGCGGCCGGCTCGTGCGTGATGGCCACCTCCCCACACACTCTCTCCTCACGCCTCCTGACAGGTACTGCACCGCCCTCGGGCACGGCTTGGGGAAAATTCCCCTGTTTTTGGCACGTACTCTCTGTGGTTGGGGCTGGCTGCAACCTTGGGAGCCCGTGGCGAGGTCGGCTGAGGTCGGTGGGGGTGTGACCTTTGGAGGAGCCTGAAGCGGAGGGGCCGCGGAGCTGGGGTCTGGACTCGGTCTGCAGTGCAGGTGGCGCCCCGCGCCCCGTCCCGCCCGAGGGCCGCTGCCTCTGCTCCTGTTGGTTTGCACCGCGTGGAGGCTGGAGCGGACACAGCGGAACCTTCCTGCCCCCCGGCCCCCTGGCGCCCCGGGCCTCCGTGCCTGGCCGCCGGCAGTCCGGACGCGGGAGCGCTGTGCCCCGCTCGCAGCCTTCCTGCGATGTGGAGGGTCGCGGTGCTGCGACGATAATGAATACGGCGATGACAGCTGCGGGCAGCGGGCCGCCGCTTGACTCCCAGCTTCGTGCCATTCGGCGTGGCCCCTGTTGCAACCCTCCCGCTTGAAAAGCCTGTAACAGCCTCATGCTGACGGCGGAGTGCGCCTTCTTGGTTGGCCCTTGGCGAGGTCTCAGCTCAGGTGTCGCCTGGTCAGAGGCGCCTGCCCCTCTTCTCACTGGGCCCTGTTTCTCCCCAGGTGGCCAGCACAGGCTCCCCTTGTTGCCTTATGGGCCGTTTATCGCATGCTCCTCCCAGCCAGAATGTAAACACTGGGAGGGGAGGGGCCGTTCTCTGGTCCCCCTCTTTGGCCCCAGTGCCCAGAACGGTACCTGGTGTGCGCTGTTGGCTCTCAGTAATTCCTTGTGAATGAATGAAATTTGCCCCGGTGGAGGTATTAGAGAGGAGTTGAGAATTATTTTCCCCCCAGTAGTTCAGTGATCACTAATGGCTAGGTGAGGAACGTGTTGCCGCTGGTCCATAATGGGGACGATAGAATCCCAGGACTCCGTTTTCTTACAAATCCCAGAAACTTTTTCAGGCCCCATGCCTCACCCGCTCTCTGCAGCGCCTGGCAGTATCGATCACTGTGAGTCTGACATGCCGTTTTCCTCGTGGCATTGTTATTTTATGGGTCTTCTCTGGTGTGTGTGATCTCAGAGCAAACCATCTGACTTTTCTGGAAGTGAAGTTACTCATCTATAAAATGAAGCAATTTAATGAGATGGTTTCAAAGGTCCCTTTTGGTTCAAAAGTGGGGAAGAGGGTGGGAAGTAGGAGGGAGTGTAAAAGAGACAAGCTTGGCCTTGGTTTGGTAATTGTTGAAGCTGAGGGAAAAGTAACGGGGGCTCATTATATTCTGCTTTTGTATGTGACTGAGGTTTCCCATAATGAAAAGTGTTTTGTTTTTTAAAGTCTGTGATTCTTTTTTAATTACTTGCAACCTTCTACCATCCTTGACTGAGTGTTCTTTGATCCTGACTATACACACTCATTCTCAGAGAACTCGGCCTTTCTTGTTGCTTGAATTATCACCTCTGTATGGAGGGTCCATTTCGGATTCCTCACACTAGCTGGTTCTCTGTCTTTCAGTTCTGTACTTTCAGTTTTCCATAGCACAGTTCCACTGGGCAGCTCAGAATCCCCCAGGTCTCGGAAGTGGGCTTCATATACATGTGGTCCACATGGCTTGTAGCTGGATCAGTCTTTTAGTGTGGGAAAGGAGGAATTAACACACAGCTTAGCTTCTTGAAGCTGTGCACATAATGGCCAAAAAGATCTGTGTGACCTACTCTGATCCACTTGGAAGATCCGCCACGAGAGCTCGATATGGAAGCAGCATGGTGAAAGGGTGGCAGGGAGGTCATCTGGGGCTATATTAGGTAGCTACTGGTCGTGTCTGATTTTGCTTTTAAAAATTGGAGTATTTTATAGTCATTAAAAGAAAATTCAAGACCTTCAGTTACCTGTCTACTCACCTAATTTAAAACCCCTACAATCATGACTCATTATTGATGGTGAATAGTGGATGTGGCCACATATTTGCAGATTTTTAATGTATCTGTGGTAATGTATCTATTGTATCCTGTGTATCTTTTAACCTAAGGTTGTTTACAGAGAGCTGAAATGTCTTTGACATGCTAGGCACCGATTCATACGAATGTAACATGTTTTGACTAAATGAAGTATTTTCAAAATTTAAAAGTACAGTTTCCTAGATGTGGGTGTTTTTGTTTTGTTTTTTCTTACTGCCATTCTGTAAAATCTCACTTCATCTACCTATTCATGAGAGGTAGTTTGCCAGGTGATTCTTTCCCTCCCAGCAACATGCATTTCTCACTGGACCTGAGGAACTAAAACCTGATTTTGAAATTTAAGGCCCATACAATAAAACCTTAATGTCTTCTAGACACAATTATTTAATATTGAGGTCCTATTACCTTAAAGAACAATATTAAGGGTAAGAAGGGAAAATGTACACCATTAAATTATAAATAAAACTGAAATATTAAAGGATTGATTTTAAGAAATTTTCCCCTAAAAAACACTGCTATCCCTTTATGTATATATGTACAGGTAAACACACATTCACCTATGTGGAAAATAAGCATTTTATAACTAACAGGTTTGAGAATCTGATTTCAGTGAAGAAGTGACTTATCAACAGCCTAAGATAATTGCCATGTATTCCAAAGGGCAGTGCTAGTGCCTCCCCCAGTCCACGTAAGCTGTGGCTGATACAGTCATCAACTGTTGTTCCATTGTTCTATGGAAGGCACTCTGCTGTGTTATAGCAAAGTGAGTCTCAATGAACTAAAAAACAGTGGAAACAATATGTATTTAAAAAGTATAGAAAAGTGTGAAGTGATAGAATAGTTGGAAGAGGCTGAAAATTTGACAGGTGAGGCAAGAAGCTGTAAGAAGGCGAAGGACATAAAGGTGAACCAGTGTGGAGTGCGATGATGAGACAGCGTGGCTGCAGTGAGGTATATTTACATGTTTGGGTGGGTAATTATGTATGTTGGGCTTCAGGAAGAAAACCGTTTGCTCTATGGTACTTAAGTTGGACAGGGAAGGAAATTACTGAAGTAGAGATGACTGTCTTGAATCCTACAACTATTACAATAGTGCAAATGTAAGATAAGAGAATGGAATGGAAAATAGGAATGAGAAGAAGTAGACAGATTTGACGTATCTTTCATAGTTGACTGGACTTGATGGTTATTAAATGATGAAGGAAGAATTCAGGCTGTTCCTGAGGGAATGGTTTTCTCTTCAATGGGGACAGAGTAGAGATATGGGTGAGGATAAAGTGTTCTTAGAGGCCTATTGCAACCCATCCATGATACTGAGAGAGCAGTTGGAAATAGGCATAATGACTCTAGAGATGTGTTGAAGATTTAAGCTTTGCCTGTAATTGCAATTGCTCAGGGATTAATGTGGCAGGAACAGCAAGAGGAGACACGATAGGAAACTGAGAAGTGATGAGCAGAGGCAGAGAAAGCCAGGAGCCTTTGGTGTCATGGAAGCCATGGGAGGAGGGACTCAGAAAGGGAGAGTCTGGGCCGTTATATCGTGGAAGGCCTGCCTAGGAGAGACCTTGTACAGGAGCGTTGGATTTGTTGGTATTTGAAAGAAGGTTTAAAAGAATGATTAAAAGCCAAAGGCCTATACTACAAAAATAGTTTCTCCCCAACAAGATTGATAAACTCATACTTTATTGAGAACTGTTTCCTCACCCCTTACTTGGCTTACCCGACATGGCCAAAATAGTAACCGGTAATATATCTTCCAGTTTACAGTTACTTATTGAGAAAAATTATGCTTCTCATTTTATACTTTTAAAGAAGTGATTGAACTGATTGTTTTATATTTTCTTCTTAAAAATATCTATAGTGTGGTCATTTTGGCATTTAATATAACAAAAGCATAATGATCCTGAGCTGAAAGATTTCCCTAGCCTGTGAAGAATTTTCCAGATTTATCAGTAAGGCTCATAAGTTGTGTTTATTTACAAATCCGGACTAGATCATTTCAAACTTATAACCCATCTCATAGGCATTGCTTACCATGGTTCAGGCATTGCTCCTGGGTAGGCGCAGTCTTCCCTGCTGAGAGGCATTAATCACTTTAACATTGTTCTCCCTTCTGCTCTATTACAGGAGGGGTAGGAGGATGTGTCTGGTATCTAGAAAGAAGAGCTGTGCAGGCATCCCCTCACAAGTTTATGCATCTTTTTAGGAACGCCAGCAAGCAGTGGGTTACATTTCAGCACTTCACCTTCCTCAAGCGCATGGTATGTTCAGAAGACCATCCTTGCTCTGTTGCTTCAACCTTTCCTTTTCAATTTGCGGGAATTTCAGAAATTCGCGTTACGAGAGGAGTACTAAGAAGTACTGTTTAAAAAGGACTTTTAGTGTCCTCTTCAGTTTATTCAGAACTTAAATCCCTCGCTTTGATTATTCTTAACTGAAACCAGGATAATTTTGGTGTTTGAGCTTAAAAGTATGATCTTGAACTTGCTGATTAAGTTTGGAGAAATATTGAAAATTTCTGGCATGGTTTTACTAGGTTAAAATTAGAGAAAGCTGCACTGTTATAATACTTCATAAATTCTTTAAAATTCTGTGAATACAACAGTAATACAGAAATAATTGCTCTAATAGTGGCCCTCCTGTTTTTTTACATTAGCAGTGCATTCAGATGCATGTCTGAACCTAACAAATTGAGGTTTTAGTAGTTTGCTCAGCATTTTGTAGTGGGCATTGATAATACATCTCAGTCCTCTTGTAGGCCTGTGTCTAGGTCGGGTTCATGATATTATGGGCAACCTAGTAATTTGCTCTGAATTACCAGTGAGGGCATTTGACATTTTCTCAAGTAGAAAGCATCATAGAATGGAGAAATCTTAGCTAACAAATTCTTGCAAGCATGAAATAATACCAAATTCATAATCTAAAATCCTCTTTTAAATTTCTCTCATCTTTTTTTTTAACTTAAAAGTTAAAGTCTTATAAAAACTTACTATTCTGGTAAGAGATTTAAATTTCTAGTAATGTTCAGATTTTTTAACTTGAAGGTTTAAGGATAATGGATATTTAGAAGAGAAACTCAAATATATATTATGCCATTTTTATGTAAACAGAACTTTGGATTCATTCATGAGTTTGTAATTCCTAAGACTAGTATATGTAATGGAAAAGTCTCTTAACTAGTTATCAGGTAAGTGGTTCCATGTCCAGGGTCACCTGTAACTAACTGGTTGTTGATTCTAGGCTCTGTCAGTTTATTCCTCAGCCTTGATTTCCTCATCTGCAAATTAAAGAGAGAGATACTAATAATGACCCATCTTCTTTAACAACTTTTGCAAAGCTTACATGAGATATGTATACTATATAAACTACGACAATATGCATTCTATTGAACTTTGAAGTGCCTCATGAATGCTAGTGGTAATTACTTTTTGCAAGTAAGTAGTAGAGAGTGTGTAGCTCTAAAGCCCATGCTCTTTCCTCATGCGCACTGCTGTAAGTCACTTAGGCCTGGGAAGCACACGTCTGCTGAGCCCCGCTGCACTGTTTGCCTGGGAACATGGCACTCAACAGGTGTTTGGGCCCTTGATTATAGAAAACTTCTTCATTGTACTTGAATGTTAAACCACCAGTTTCTGGTACTATATTAGGGGACATTCTGGAAGAGATGAACAAGAAATAAAAATATCTTCTTTCAAAGAACTTAAATTCCTAGGAATTTCTAGAAATTTGAAAACTATTGCAGAGGAATGAATTGTGTTCTCCTTATGGCTTAGTCTAGTGCAGCGGTTCTCAACCTGTGGGTCGCGACCCCCTTGGGGGTCAAACGACCCTTTCACAGGGGTCGCCTAAGACTATCCTGCATATCAGATATTTACATTATGATTCATAACAGTAGCAACATTACAGTTATGAAGTAGCAACGAAAATAATTTTATGGTTGGGTCACAATATGAGGAACTGTATTTAAAGGGCCAGAAGGTTGAGAACCACTGGTAGTGACTTCCATGGAACAAGCACTTTAATATTAGTGCATGTGCCTGTGTTTTATAAAGTTAGAGGAAAATCTTTTAAGTACCATAAAAGTCGGACCGATAGAAGGTGTAACTAAACAACCATTTAAGAGCATTTTGGCTTTGTATACTGACATGTACTTTTTAAATTTAGTATGTCACACAGCTGAACAGAAGCCTCCGCCAGCAAATAAAGCCAAAGGCAGAGCCAGTGGCCTCTCCTTTCCTTGAGAAATCGTCTTCGAGTCAAGCCAAAGCGGAAGTATATGAGATGAAGCCTTTTGCACCCTCTACCCTATCTTTGCCCAGAAAGCCTAATGAAACCGAATTAATAGAACTAGAATCTGCCTCAATAATTGAAGGCTCAGTAGATGTGGGAAAAGAGACAAAAGATGAAAAGCAGTGGAAAGAGATGAAGCTGCGTGTGGACGATTTGCCAGGAATTTTGGCTCGACTGTCCAAAATCAAGCTCACAGGTACTTTGTCTTTCTGGTATGGTTAGAGTCTTCCTTGAAACTTCATTTTTAGTTAAGCAAAAAGCTGATTTCATTTACTCCTCCAACAGGTATATTTTGAAACTGCAGATTCTCTCTAATTGAGATCTGAAGTCAAATTTTCTGAATTCTATTTACTCAGAATTGTAAATAGTATTGTATTGAACATGTACTAGAATATCCTCATTTATTTACAATTAAAGTAGAATACTTATCCTGCTTATTTCTGACTTTTGTTGTTTGCATCTGCTGTCCTTTAAAGATGCAGTGCGGTAATGAGTCTGTCTGAGTTCCGCAGCAGGACGGACGGCACTGCTGTGCGTGGTGTGCAGTGGAACCACAGTGGCCACTGGGACTCCCACTCACTGATGTTTGCCTCTTGTAGGACCTCTGGGATTTTCCCAGGTATGAAGGGGTTTGAGTGCTTTTCTGAAAGGTTTAGAACCAGATTTTTTGCCTAATTGTAGCAAACTGCACCAAAACAATTGCATGCATTTAGGTGTTAACCCATAATAATGTCATTTGGTTGCTACAACCACACTATGAGTCAGGAGAAGCTTTGTTATTATCATCCCATCTCATAGCTAAACTTAGAAGTAGCTTATTCTGGGCTCATGCTGTTTGGACTGTATGTCCTGGGTCACCCTGCCGACGGAAGACCTGGTCTCTCCGTTTCTTCTGGATGAGAATAAGGAGAAGAAATGGGTAAACAGTGAAGTTGTATTTGGTACTCTGCGGACAGAAAGTGGTAAATAATATTGTTGAGTCAAAATCGGCAAGTGAACAGATAAGGCAGAGAGGCTTTGAGAGTAGAGAATAGAGACAAAGAAGGAATGGTTTCTGTTTATTTGTTTGTCTTTCAAGGGAGTTGAGCCTGAAATCCAGGGGAAAAGGAGACAAATCAGACACATCTTGTTCCTCAGTGACCAAGTTCATTTACAGAAAACCTTTTAGGGAGGATGGCACTTGGACATAGGGAACTTGACAGAGAATCATAGTAAAACGTACACCGGGCAGCTCTACAGCGGTGAGGCTGACTTCGGGTGGAATCTTTGAAGTTATGTCTCAGTGCTGGTTTGAGTGTCATGTTGACATGTGAGAAGGACTGTAGAGAAGGTGTGATTCTAGGATGTCACCCAGAAAACAAGGCCTCTCTGTCTGGGCGCCAGAAGTGAGCTCTGCCATGAGCAGGAGTTTCTGGGTGTGCACTCTGCCGATTCAGTCTGTCATGTCCCATTTCTGTCAGCAAAGCCAATATTCTTCATCTCTCCTCGAGGAGAAATCTTAGCACATTCTTTGCTTTCCATTCTCCCCTACAGTCTAACCGCCAGTTGCACCAGTAGGCCCCTCTGTGGTGCCTCTGTGGTTTCTCATCCCCATTTCTGAAGCTACCATCCTTGTTCGGGTCCAGACATGAGGGCTATTATTGCTCCAGCTCCTAACTGTTCTTTCTGCCTCATTCTCCTTCCACTGCAATATATGCCACCCAGGGCTGCCAGAGGAATTTCCTAAGGCATTGCTTTCAGTGTTCCTGACCTGCCCAAGCGTCTGCAGGTCCTCTGTATTGCCTCCTGCCTCGACTCTCCCTGACTTTAAAGGGACATTATAATCGGAAATGGTTAGACTCTTCCACAGAAACATTTGTTTTCCACCCCACCGTACTCCTTCCTCCACGGAGACCAGTCACATCCTTTCAAGGCTTCTCCACTAAGTCTTCTTTTGCTGCGCCCAGCCCAAATCTCCCTCCTCAACACTCAGAATATGGCTGGGAAGTCAAGCAGACTTGAGTTCAGATCCTGGCTGTGACATTTACTAGCCTTGACCTTGCTAAGACAATTCCCTCATCTATAAAATAGAAATAACAATAAATCACTTAAGAATTTAATCATATAATGCACGTGAAGTACCCAGCAACATGACTGGCACATGGGGGGAGACCTTCAGAGGTCAGTTTTCAAATAATTACAGGTAAACACTTGATTATTCAATATAGGTTGTATTTTCCAAAGAATTTCAGGGCAGAAGTCATGCCATATACTTGTTGAGCACTTCTAGCTCTCTGGGTACAGTGCTCCTCACTTGGTAGGGACTTGCTTTTTTTTTTTTTTTTTTTAATATATTGTTATTGATTTCAGAGAGGAAGGGAGAGGGAGAGAGAAATAGAAATGTCAACGTGAGAGAGAATCATTGATGACTGCCTCCTGCACACCGACCACCGGGGATGGAGCCCCCAACCTGGGCATGTGCCGTGACCTGCAATCGAACTGTGACCTCCTGGCTCATAGGTTGACGCTCAACCACTGAGCCACACCAGCTGGGTAGGACTCACTTTTGAGAGGGAACTGACAGACTGAAGTCTCCCAGAGGAGGGCAGCCATAAGGAAGAGGGGATGTGGAAACCTTGTCACTTGGGGGATGAGAGTGTTCTGCTTAGAAAAGAGAAGGGAGGAGGGATAAAGTGAGGGAAAGGAGAAAGACATAATAGCCATTTTTAGACATCTGTAGTTCCATTGATTTAAAGGAACAATGCTGCTCACTTATAGTCCAGAAGACAAAACTAGGAGATTGCACATGCTAACAGAGTGGCAGATTCTCTCAGTGTGAAAGAGAGTTCTTAGGAGAACTATTTAGGTGCGAAATGGGCTGCCTTGTAAGGCGACGTTCCCTGACATTGGAACTATCTAAATGGAAACAGATCATCTTTGAGGGAAGTTGATTCCTGCATTGTGTAGTGGGTGGGACTAGATGATGACAATAAAGACCCTATTCCATACTCAGAGACTGCCTGCCTTCAGTATTTATTGGTGTTTACCACATATCTCTTGGTGCTGGTTACTGGAGATACAGAGATTAACAATAAGTTCAGTCTAATGGGGAGATTTTGTACGCATGTACATATATAAAAATAGAACAGCTGTGGTCCGATACATCTGTGTTTCAAACCCAGAACTCTTTCCTAATACCTGTGTGATCTTGAGCAATTTCTTAACCTTAGAGTGTCTTAGTTTCTTTACCTGTAAAGTAGAGATAGTGGCACTTACCTCATAGCCTCATTGTGAGGATTAAATGAGATAATGCAGGTAAAACACCTGCATTAAGTGCCTACCCAGCACTATTATGCACTTAATTAGCTATAATCAACACTATTATCATTGCTATATGCATCATTAGGGAAATTAGTGTTATAGGAATTATAAGGGATGTGTGCATGAGGCAGAGGGGGAACCCAGAGAAGGGAGTGTTCTTTTGCCTGTGGAAGGAATTGAAGTGAATGAGTGTTTACTGGGCAGAAAAGGCAAGGATTGCAAGCAGAGACATCTGGCATATTCAGAGCTGAAGTGTGCTGAGTAGTGCAGTGTGACTGGAGTGCTGGAGAGGCACTTCCTGGGTGAATATTGAAGCAGGCAATGCTGTCACTGTGGCACAGGTTTTCCACCCCAGCAAGGGAAAGACCTGGGGGGCATTTTGGAGGAACACAGTCACTTTGTACATATTTTGTCTTATTTATTTATCTTTTAAGCAGATTTTAAATACTGCTGAATTAATATAAATTTATTGTAAGAAAAAGAAATTCAGATAATACAGAAACAGTATCTTAAACTGGAAAAGTACCTTTTTCATCCATTTTAGATGAAACTCCTACTTAAAATGTAGCCATATATATGCAGATATAAAGATATAAAGTTTTATATATACATATATTTTTATTGGTTTCAGAGAGGAAGGGAGAGGGAAAGATAGAAACATCAGTGATGAGAGAGAATTGATTGGCCGCCTTCTACACCACCCCCACTAGGGATCGAGTCCGGAAACCCAGTTATATGTCTCAACCAGGAATCAAACTGGCAAGCAAACCATGACCTCCTGGTTCATAGGTCAACATTCAACCACTGAACCACACCAGCCAGTCCAGAATTGCTTTTAATAGCAAAAAAACTGGAAACACCCTAAACGTTTACCTGTAGAGGATTAGTTAAGTAAATAATGGCAGTTCCATATAATGAAATGGTATGCAGTGAAGTAAATACTGTCAGTGAAAGCTACACTGTTAAGAGAAAATGACAAGTTGTAGAACTGTGTATGCATGTGTGTATAATGATCCTATTTCTATTAAAATATAAAGCCTCGCCTGAACGGGATGTCTCAGTGGTTGAGTGTCGACCTATGAACCAAGAGGTCATGGTTCGATTCCCGGTCAGAGCACATGCCCAGGTCCCAGGCTTGATCCCCGTTGTGGGGTGTGCAGAAGGTGGCCGATCAGTAATTCTCTCTCATTGTTATTTCTCTCTCTCCCTCTTCCTTCCTCTCTGAAATCAATAAAAATATATTAGATAAATAAAAGCAATTCTGTTATTAACTTTTATGTATATAAATCTTTGTATACTTATGTGAGTACTTGTGTAGGATAAGTGTTTAGAAATGTAGTTGCTAGCTTTAAATATTGTAATTTTGATAGACTGACCGGTTTGTGCCTAAAAAAGATAGTTTAATTTACATTCCCTCCAACGGCATGTGGGAATCTGACTCCTTCTGTACTCCGTGCTTGTGAATTAGTTGTCTTTACCAGTGTTGCCTATTTGAAAACTGAAAAGATTTTTGTGTGTTCGTTTTTATTTTCTCAGTTTTGGTGAGAAATAACTTTTTCTCTATTGACCATTTCTATGTTTCCTTTTATTTACCTCATATCCTTGGTCATTTCTTAATGATGTTTTTAGAGCTCTCTTTAGCATTTTATCCATCATATGCATTAATTTTTTAAAATATTTTCTTTTTCCTTTATTTTACTTGTGATATTTCACTGTTTTATTTTGCCCTACTGAGATTTTTCAAATTTGTTAGTTCTTTTTTTTTGTTTTTTGTGGTTTTTTTTGTTTTTGTGCTTAGAAATATTTTTACCTATGGTTATAAAAGCATTCACTGTGGGTGGTTCTTTTTTTTAATACTTTAATATTTTTATTATATTCTCTAAGGTGTGGAGACCA